GTAAAGAGGAAGTTATGCTCTCCTGGTGTTTAAATCCACTTTCTGCTTTCCGACTAAACTTCGTTATCCACTAAGTTCGCGTATCCAACCATCACGGCAACACCACAACAAGATCGGCAATCGAATAATTTCAACATTTCGCGTGGTTTGGTGGTTTTTCAGAAGCACGCAAATAAGTCTTTTTCACCACTCAAATTTCCAGGCGGTTATATCTGTGACGCACTTGATTCCTAATTGAACATGATCGCAATGTGTTTTTTGCAGTGATTGTGGTGCACGTCGCACTCTAACATTTAGCTTTGGGAAACTCATCAGCTGACTGGAGGCCTTTCGGAAAATCCATCGTCTGATCCCTTGGTTTCCTTGATGTGTGTAACCTGTTGGATCCGTGAGAAAGCGACGGATAACTTACCTGACTTTTCCCAGGCATCTTTCGGGTGCTTGCTCTTGGTTGTCTCGGCCATGCTGATCGTAAGACAGTGCTGGTCCGCGTGCCTTATCTTGAGCTTGCGTAACTAGTGGCCGATGCTTATTCGGGGGTTTCTGCTACCATTATGCTGCATCCCAGGCATGGTATTTGCGATAAGTCGATTTACTTGAGCCCAGGTTCAAGGCCGAAATTAACCGTTGTGTATCGATGGGTTCAGATGCCAATGTACCACATTTCATTGCCCCCTTCATAATAGTTCTGATAACATTCCGTGCCATTTTGCATCTTTGGGTCTGTCAGTCATAGCCATATGAGTGTACAGCTTACATATCAGGCGACGGGATAACCTTACCATGGTGAACCTATGCACTATGTGATAAACGAAGGTCTCGGCTGTTTGTGTTACACTACCTATTGTTAAGCAATGACAACTCGTGGGGACGGTATGACGTACAGCGGAAACAGATTACATCGATTCCTTCCAGAGGCAGCAACATCGGTGTTGACACATGCTCCACTGCTGGAAAACCACATAATTTATTTGGCCACACTTACTGCGGGCAATCCTCTTCGAAGATGACTCGATACTGTTGAACTTACCGGATCATGTGTTGCAATTTAGTCGGATCTGAACTTTTGGTTTTTCGACCATTTTGTTCTCTGCTTACCTTGTTCGAACACCCGATTTCGATTTACATCTTGATGGATGAAACAACTGCAACAATAACCAGTAAAACTAATGATCCTTCTACTGTAACGTTCTTTCGGTACATAGCTGCCATGTCACCAGAGAGAAGCACGAGGGGTCTGAGATGCTGTCAGGTTGCTCAAGTTTAGAGGGGAGAACCCGAGATGCCGAAGTTGGGTTTCAACCCCCAACTTCCGATCAGTTAGTTCGCGCCTTAATCACTAAGGTAACCTGAGCTTAACAACTACGACAAGTGATCACAGCTGCCTACGATAGTAAACAAACCCATTTCACCGCCGTACGGCAGTGAAGCATCGGTGTTGAACACTGAGGTGACGCTGTCGATGATGATGATTCGCCGCCGTCTACCCAACTTGTGTATCAGTCCCTCCACCTTTTCGTCGCATTCCTTTGAGAAGCACTGCTTTGAGAATTACAGAGGCTCTCAGTCTCACCTGTTTGCTTCCTTTTGTGTGGAAGTATAGATCACCTTCCCATTCCTCCTGATTATAAAACTTTTTTGCAGTGCTAATTTTTTTCTTGTTACAAGGGCTAACCCCTCAAGCTCTAAAATGATATGCATAGTTGAAAACACACAATTTAAAAGGCTGTTGGCCCGGGTAATAAATTTGACTTCTGTACTTTTTTGTACAACAGACAGTTTCAGATTATTATTTCTAATGACCTCAGGTTTCGCCGGAACTCCAGGCTACCTGTCCCCGGAAGTGTTGCGCAAGGAACCCTACGGAAAGGCTGTAGATATTTGGGCTTGTGGTACGTGTGCACTTTGTAATTTTTTAAAACAAATGTTGCCACCACTGTTGATGTTTCGCTCACTTGTTTTAGTTGGCCTAATCGGTTTAGGCATGTTCACTTGCGTTCAGTTATTAAACGTTGATTTTTCTACGTTTTCTCTGCACACTTACTGTGTGCTCGTTGTACCAATGCGTCTGAGCACATTCCATATGGCCACACCATCCAGTCTGCAGGTCTTTGTTATCACTCATTCTAGTCAGTTTTTGTAACGCTAATGAGGCCTAGAAACTAGAAAGCGCAAGCAATGGTTCCTAATAGTAAACGTTGGACCGTTGACCGTTCATTACTGTTACCCAGCTCTGCGACCTCAAATACTCCGTACAGTACAACTATGTACAGTGCTTCCCTCCAAACATTCCCGCTTGTGCTGATCTGCTCTCCATCAGGGTCGCATAATCTTGCCTTGTCAGTAAGAGCTGAGTCGGTATCTTTCTAACTCCTTCCAAATGACGACTATCTCACCAACAATACAACTTGGTGTACTTTTCTGTTGTGTTAGTACGGGGAGGAGCAGTCCACTTAAAGTTATGAGTTGGTTGTGCTCGTTTCTTCTTAAGGCCACTTGGCAAGCTAGCTTATGTGATTCGTCATGGGAAAAGGAAACGCCAAGCGAATACAGTACATCTGACTGACGCCTATCACGTACAGGGTTAAACGTAATAAAAACGGATCATTCGCAATTAGGTAGACTTAAGGGTATGAGAATCTGCTTTTTAGGCAGGGAAAAGGCAATCTAATACGTTTAGGTTAGACGGGAGAAACGGCCCTCAGACAAGTGACACTGAGTTAGTTCACGCACAAACTTCAGGCGTTAGGAGTCGGATGACGAGGTTGTTTAACCTGACCGGTTTTCATCATTTTTGTGGCACCTGATACGCAATCCAAAATACAGTGTCCCGAGTAACGACGTGCCCCGTGTCGGCTGGCTGGGCTAGAATAGAACTATGGATTTTGATCTCACTTCCCAGCGCGAACCACTTCGGGCAGTGTTCCATAGTCCGCTATACGACCTACGCAAGTGGCATCACACGCGCGCTTGAATTCATGAACACTCATCCACAAGGTCAGCACTTTTAGCTAGCCGTTATTTTGTAGGCGCAGCATGGATGCAGTTGAGGAAGCACACAGAAGTCCAGCCGTATTGAACGTTTATCTTACTACTGCGGAATGACTTTCGGTTAACATATTGTCGTCGGGTTCTTTTCTTTTCTACATATTACGTGTGAGAAACCGTTCAGGATAACCATCTTCCTTAAGAGTGATCCTAATAGCGTTCCAGCATGTCATCGGAGCACATTCCCTGAGATGTGGAAGAGAGACAGAGAACAAGACTTCTGTTTTATTGTAGACGGACAAAACTACTAAAGTTCATGTGTTGAGCGCTTCAGATTGCCTTGTGGTACACACATCAAAGCCACAAGTTTGTATGGCCAGTGACACGTCTAGCAGGAAGATCTGGTTCTCTTCTTGGTCACAACCCTTTCAATGTTGCACCGATAAAAAAAGTCATTCAGCTCTGACACCCTTTCGGTGCCTGGCTGCCATGTCACCCAAAAGAAGCACGACAGCTGAGATTCTGAGGGATTTTTACGAATTGAGAGGGTATGATCAATGACCATACGCGATTTGGGAAAGAGCGCACAAAACCCCAGCTATGACGCGCACCTAACCACTTTTAGCATAGAGACAAAAAGACCGATCCACGAGGAAGCGCTTAGCGCGGCCCTTTTGGAACAATTTGCGACATGGCGTAAAGGGCGCGAAAATTCAAAATTCCAATTTCCATAAAATGACTTTGGCAATAACTCAACAGGTAAACAGTTTTGGGATACTGATATTTCCAACATTCTCAATCTCAAGTGGGACCGTGTAGATGTCAGCAGGTTCTGGGCTCAATCGTGACCCCGTATCTGCTTTGTTTTCGGCGACAGTTTTTCGTTAAGACGAAACTGTACATCAAGAGGAAATTCTTCAGTTAACTGCATAATGCAACGTTTGCAGCTTCGATACACGTGCACAGGTTGACAATAGTTTCTAGCAGGAGTGCATTTCCGAATATGGAAGCTACATCAAGTGAAACTATGACTGGTTTGTTGCATGATATTCAGGTTGTAGACAGATGTGCCGTCAAATAGGCTGGAGTTTGTGACTACTGAGCTTCAGCTTACTGAAAAGTGCTTGTCATAGCAGCGATCAGGCACATCCGCCTCATGGATTTCCAGTAATCTTTGCCAGTGACGCAATTGATTTGGCTTGAACTAGGTTTACTATAGCTTTGTGAAACTTCATAGTTTAGGGAGTTAAACAAATACGGTATCACCGAGCGTGACTACGGTTGTCCATCCTCACTTTGTTAAGGCAGATTTGATCGTTCTGTACGGTATTCCATGAGGTGGCACCGAGAAAATGAACGCCGATATGAAATTGAGCCATCCTTCTTGCGAGAGTGCACCGATTTTGCAACTTTTCGACCAGTGTGAGGTGAGCTGAAGTTAACCGGCCAATAGTAGCTCTCCAAGCTGTTTAATCGTAGATCCCAGTGATATGTGCTATGTCGCAAAGTGGAGTCAAGGAACACAGACGGACGAGACTTCTTGGTTAGATGTTTTAACCTTGGTAGACCTCAGTTATGTTGTCGATCTCGTCGGTATTCAACAGCATGATACAACAGAATCCAAAACCGCTTTGACTGATTTTCCAAACGCTGTCAATTGAGACGGTTTTTAGCGTGTTTCGGTACCTGGTTCCACCGTCTAACAAAACTATAAAAAATCTGTCCCTAGACTTTCTACCCCGCATTTCGCTTCATGCTAAGGTGGGTACATTGGTAGGCGTGAAAATATTGTCTGGATCACGGTATGAATGTTTTATATGACCTTTGTTTTCCCCCAGGTGTCATCCTGTATATTTTATTGGTCGGCTATCCTCCTTTCTGGGATGAAGACCAGAACCGACTGTACAGTCAAATCAAATCCGGAGCGTTTGATGTGAGTTCTCATTTTCCTGTATGTATTTCATACAAAAATACTCCGGCCTCCGTCTAACTGTGGGTTTTACTTCTCCAGCTAGGACTGTAATAATAATAATAATAATAATAATAATAATAATAATAATAATAAATCGTTCAGCTGTAGCACCCTTTCGGTGCCTAGCTGCCCTGCCACACGAAGGAGGCACGAGGGCTGGGATACTGCCAGGTCGCCCAAGGCCATCGGAAGTCGGGTTTGAACCATGGACCTTCCGGTCAGTAAATTCGCGCTCTAACCACTTGGTCCAACTCGCCCCGGCTAGGATTGTATCCCTTCATCGATAATACTGTTGGTAGAGGTGCTTCTGTCCTTCGTAGCAGCTGGGTTTTCATACTTCGGACATGTTTCCGATTTACTAGGCGATTTACTAGGCTTGTGAATTCGTTTTCATTGGCGCGATCTCATTTGGTTGAGTTATTTAGCCTAAAGCTCCTATTCAGTGGTGTGGCAACTGACCGTATACTTCTAACTGGGTGAATTTTAGCAGAACCTGAAGGGTGGTGATCACTCAACCCCTTGAAAATAATTATTCTCAAGTTGAATTTATAATTCTCCATCTCTTTACCTATGCGCGCTTGATTGAAACGACAGACCCTACTTTCGACCTTATGCAATTAAAAAATGCTCATGCGTGACCTAGCCAAAGGGACTCCATTGGCGCTGTGCGGTTAATGTGCAGTTTCATTAATTTACCACGGTTTTATCGCCTCACTGGTGAGATGATTTGTCTTTGTCTTGTGCAAGCCAACCTTTTACGATCCCTCATGTTGTAATTCATTGCATACTGTCGGCAGATATCGATGCTACCCACTACTATGCATTAATTGAATGACTAGTAGTTCTAAACAGGTCAGAGTACCGTATCGATCCGTTCCGTCGCTTGATAGGGAAAGGTGTCTAGCTCTTTGAACTTCACAGTTAAGGCTATGGCTCTTCTGAGGTTATGCTGCTGCAAAAATGGGTTTGCTTTATTCATGATACTAGCCAAGTGGGTCTCTTAATAGCACAGCCGGTGGGATAAGAGCTACTGATTGTTGCGACTCGTTGGAGTAAGATTTGTGACCTATGCCTCCTGCCTATGCCTGATTACTCTATTTCAGTGCCCAATCGGGAACTTTGCAACCAAAGCTTGGTCGGGTTTTAATTACTCACTCCTTGGATCCAAAATAACGTTTAGATATTTGTTTAACCAGGGTGTCAACTCCTTGTGAGGAGAGTAGCACTGGAGGTGGCGAATAATGGTGAAATTTTCCTCCGTTGATTATGCGAAGGTGGTGGAGAAGAATGGGGTTGACCGCTTGGAAGAAGTAACTGATTGGATAAAGTCGGTTGAATTGATTGAAATGAACAAAAGGGAACGTGTTCTACCAATTAAGAACACTCACTGAAAGCAGGCAGTAGGATACAGGGAAACCGTGTGCTATCAGTGAAAGACCAGACAACTTCAGGCAGTGGATTAAGTGGATGGCTTTCTATATTCGGTCGGATGGGTCAAGTAGTTTATGAGAACTCCGTCCCGAACTTGAGACAGTATTTGGGAAATCTGCGATTTGAAATACAGAAGTAGGTGAACACTCGTCAAGTACCTTTTGGTATGGTAAATAGGTAGGAAGTAACGTTTTTGTGAATTCGGCGCCTAGATCCACTCGACGAGTTCCAAGAAGGACGAAACCGGTGGTGGGCTCTCCAAATTTTCATCGGCTTACTGAGCAGTATTTAGACACTCCGATGTCTTCAAAATCGTTTCAGCTGAAACATGAGGCGACCTTTATCCAAGGTATTCATTTGGGATTCCGGTGAAATACAGCTGGGTTTTCCATGAGCAGCAAGTTGACTTGCAAATGATTGTCTATTGCAACATGCGTATAATGCAGCGTCCGACCGAGGACTAAGGTTGAGGAAAGAATAGGGACTAGGTCTATCTGATGAACTTCAAGAAATCCGAAGCCGACAGGGTGTTATCTAGACTTTTAATCGACTGTACGAAAAGCATATATAATTTTTGTATCAAACCAACGAAGGCTGTGAGTAAAATACAAACCCAAGGAGAAAACGCTTGAGAACAAGAATTCCGACCGTGTTTAAGGACGGTGGATGAAAGTGGGTTGGGGTAGTTGGAACATGTACAGCTCCCGGTCTGGTTGCTTTGCATTTCGTTTAATGATCCTTGTTCCGTGACTTCAGTGTCATCGGTAGTTAAACTAGTGTCAGTGGTAATCAACTATTAATCTCTGTAATCGAGGATAGGTAAGTGACTACCAGAATATAATCTTACCTGCGAGCGCGTTGATGAAGAAATGATGGAACACAAATCGTTGTGCACAAGGTCGGAAGTAAGTCCTCATTGATATTCAAAGAAGTGAACGTTACACCAACGATGCTTAGTGCTGTGAGCTCTGTGCGATGGAAACAGTCACCCCATCCATATCCTCTGGTTGTGGGCTGAAAATGAGAAGTTTACTGATGAAGCCGGTGTGCCAAAGTCCGGTTTATCTGACTGTTCTTGATGTTGATGCTATGGAGCAAGCAGGACAACAAACTGCCCTTGCTGTCGCAGTGGACTCGCCTGATATTGATGTGTGCAGCGTATCAGAAGCAAGAATCCAAGATCCCAGTACAGCACACCATCTGTCCGCACAAGTTTCCGGCTGCTCACCTCTGGCGATCCAAAGGGCGCTTCTGCAGGATGTGCAAGGGTCGGTATCTTCCTGCGGAAAAATCGTTGCTTGGCTATATACCCTTTCATTACGTCAGCGAAGCATCAGCGCGGAACACCAATGTTGTGCTGTCAATCAGAATGTTGATGAAAGCCGTCGTGCAAAAGACAGTCTGTTTCCATCTACACGGGAAAATTAGTGTGTGTCGTGCGTATGTGAACAAAAGGGTTCGATGAAGTTTACGCTACGTCATTGTTCCTACTCCGTTTTTGCACAGAATTTCACACTGCTGTTGCACGTCAACCACTCGACTGCTTGTAGATGGGACAAAGAAATCCTTCTTGCGTGGAAAAGTCAACAATTTTTGTGTGGTTGACATTTGCATTAGGAAATTTGTTCCAGTATTAACTATAGTTTTACAGTCTTGAGGAATTTGGGAGTGATAAAACGAAGAGTTCTAGTGACGTGGGCTTTTTCACACTGAGCATGTACATAGTTCGGTTGATGATGTTTTCATGTTTTACAATCAACCCTTAAAATTTCCGGGGTTTCATTCTGTGACGCGAACCTCACTGTCGCTTCCGAGCGATTTATACATGCTTCGAACAATGAACACACCAATTAACCCTAAAGGCACGGGGGTACTGTTATCATCAGTGTTTAGTGGCAAGACACATCGATCCCTGTTCAAGAAGCTTTATAGTCAGCTATCTTCCTAAGCAACCGACTGACCCGCACAAACCAGTGACAAAAGACATAGTGGATGCCACGATTAACAGATCTATGGCATAATTTTCGTCTGATGTTCCTGTGCACTTCTTGAAGACCTAATCTACTTCTATTGTGTTCTCGTTCCAAATCTTCCGTGGTTTCAATACTTTTGAAAGGTTCAGGATGCAAACTGGCCGGATGCCTTGTTGCGTAAGAGGAATTATGTCTCGTACTGGATTTCTATCGCTGATGGAAGGCCGGTATCGACGTTGCATTCAGGCGCATTTGGTTTTTCTGTAGATTATGTTAATGAGGGCCAGCTGAACTACACTTTAAAGCGCGTAGCCCGTATTTCAAGACGATTATGATTCTGCCAACGAATTGCCGTTTCATCTTTCTCCCGAATTCATTTCTGACACTTTTGTTCTTTTGGCCGATTGATGGAATTTACTGGGGCATGTCGCGGCTTTTATCCAGCAGAAGCTTTCTCCATGTTCTGGAACTTCGCGATCCAGCAACGCCCTTGCTATTTAACGGTGGGTTGATGTTTGGATTGGACGTGAATGCGCCTGAAATCAGCATATCAGATATAAGTATTCTGTTTAGATAGGTTACCACTGTAGATGTCTGTATTTTTGGTGCCGCGCATAGACCATTAGCTCCAGAATCGAAAAGAATAGTAGTGAACATTAGGAAATAAACAGTCATCTTCCTGGGTCAAGTAGTTCGCTTGAAGTTCCTCATTGCGTTGAGAAACGTTTACGTAAAGGACTTTCGCCGTGACCGATCTGCGCATGAACGATCGTATTCTGATAATCGTTCAGAATTATGCGGAACAAGACTGTCTCCCTGTGGTTTTGTCTCTTGAACCTCAATACATGCATGGGTTTTGCGAGAGATACCAAAGTTCGCATAGTGCCGTTTAGCCTGAGTTCACCCAGAGGTACAAGTTACGTACATTTCACAACTCTTATAAACATCTTCGTACAACCGTATTGTTTTGACAGTGATATGAATGGGTTACGTATCAGTGATTTGTCAGCCCTATGTGAGTTCAGTCACCAAGGGCCACAATAGCTATCTGATTTCCAGCTAAGGAGAAGAAAAACTGGCCAAACTACTTCTAGCAACACATCAGCTGGCTATTAGTCAATCCCTATTCGGGCTGCGGGCCCGAAGCAGAAATGCTAGTATCGGAAGTGCTCGGGTATAGTCGAGCGCCATCATGCTCCTTATTACAACAGTCATTCCCTGTCCAACTTGTTTGTGTCTACCTGGGAGACAGGGACCATCTCAAGACAACTGAGGTGAGTCCGTGTTCAAACAGGATACCAGCAGCGAATGTGGTAGCCACATCTTTCATTGTTATAAGGCTTCTGGCGCCACGGACTATTCGTCGTCCCATGGCAGCACGCGAAACCCTGACCCGTGAGCATCACGTGGGATTTCGACAAATCAGAGACTACGTTGACTACATCTCTACATTCCGTTAACCGTTGGAGCAGTGTCGTGCGCACTGACGGTCCACATCTCGAAGGGCCTTAACTTTGAGGGGCATTCGGTTCTTTCAACCTCGCATTGCTTATAACCCCGTTCACTCAACAGGGGACGCTCCGGAAGATCGTCAACACAAAGTCTGTCTTGACAGAAGGGTGTGTTATCCAAATGGACAGAGGAGATAATGTTCTATGGTTATTGTTTTTAACCTTTCCTACACTTGTCACAGGGAGTGGTGAAACTTCACATGCAACCATATTGGAAGGAGGGTCATTGTCTATTTCTTTATCCGGAATGCGCGGCAGAAATTACATCAACTGTGAAAGATTTTTGAGGAGAGTCGGTTTTGCTACTGGTTAAACACCCGGCCAGAAGTTGTCACCTTTCAGGCCGCGAGGTTTTCAGAATTCATCGTAGGTTCGGTTGACTTGGGAATCACATAAAAGCGTTCGACTTGGTCAAAACGTTTAGTGCGGCAGGTACTTCACCTCGTTATGCGGAGGTGAAGAGCATAGAAACTGTTTACCCATCTTCATATCATATACGTCACCGCCCCTTAAGTGAANAAACAGTCACCCCATCCATATCCTCTGGTTGTGGACTGAAAATGAGAAGTTTACTGATGAAGCCGGTGTGCCAAAGTCCGGTTTATCTGACTGTTCTTGATGTTGATGCTATGGAGCAAGCAGGACAACAAACTGCCCTTGCTGTCGCAGTGGACTCGCCTGATATTGATGTGTGCAGCGTATCAGAAGCAAGAATCCAAGATCCCAGTACAGCACACCATCTGTCCGCACAAGTTTCCGGCTGCTCACCTCTGGCGATCCAAAGGGCGCTTCTGCAGGATGTGCAAGGGTCGGTATCTTCCTGCGGAAAAATCGTTACTTGGCTATATACCCTTTCATTACGTCAGCGAAGCATCAGCGCGGAACACCAATGTTGTGCTGTCAATCAGAATGTTGATGAAAGCCGTCGTGCAAAAGACAGTCTGTTTCCATCTACACGGGAAAATTAGTGTGTGTCGTGCGTATGTGAACAAAAGGGTTCGATGAAGTTTACGCTACGTCATTGTTCCTACTCCGTTTTTGCACAGAATTTCACACTGCTGTTGCACGTCAACCACTCGACTGCTTGTAGATGGGACAAAGAAATCCTTCTTGCGTGGAAAAGTCAACAATTTTTGTGTGGTTGACATTTGCATTAGGAAATTTGTTCCAGTATTAACTATAGTTTTACAGTCTTGAGGAATTTGGGAGTGATAAAACGAAGAGTTCTAGTGACGTGGGCTTTTTCACACTGAGCATGTACATAGTTCGGTTGATGATGTTTTCATGTTTTACAATCAACCCTTAAAATTTCCGGGGTTTCATTCTGTGACGCGAACCTCACTGTCGCTTCCGAGCGATTTATACATGCTTCGAACAATGAACACACCAATTAACCCTAAAGGCACGGGGGTACTGTTATCATCAGTGTTTAGTGGCAAGACACATCGATCCCTGTTCAAGAAGCTTTATAGTCAGCTATCTTCCTAAGCAACCGACTGACCCGCACAAACCAGTGACAAAAGACATAGTGGATGCCACGATTAACAGATCTATGGCATAATTTTCGTCTGATGTTCCTGTGCACTTCTTGAAGACCTAATCTACTTCTATTGTGTTCTCGTTCCAAATCTTCCGTGGTTTCAATACTTTTGAAAGGTTCAGGATGCAAACTGGCCGGATGCCTTGTTGCGTAAGAGGAATTATGTCTCGTACTGGATTTCTATCGCTGATGGAAGGCCGGTATCGACGTTGCATTCAGGCGCATTTGGTTTTTCTGTAGATTATGTTAATGAGGGCCAGCTGAACTACACTTTAAAGCGCGTAGCCCGTATTTCAAGACGATTATGATTCTGCCAACGAATTGCCGTTTCATCTTTCTCCCGAATTCATTTCTGACACTTTTGTTCTTTTGGCCGATTGATGGAATTTACTGGGGCATGTCGCGGCTTTTATCCAGCAGAAGCTTTCTCCATGTTCTGGAACTTCGCGATCCAGCAACGCCCTTGCTATTTAACGGTGGGTTGATGTTTGGATTGGACGTGAATGCGCCTGAAATCAGCATATCAGATATAAGTATTCTGTTTAGATAGGTTACCACTGTAGATGTCTGTATTTTTGGTGCCGCGCATAGACCATTAGCTCCAGAATCGAAAAGAATAGTAGTGAACATTAGGAAATAAACAGTCATCTTCCTGGGTCAAGTAGTTCGCTTGAAGTTCCTCATTGCGTTGAGAAACGTTTACGTAAAGGACTTTCGCCGTGACCGATCTGCGCATGAACGATCGTATTCTGATAATCGTTCAGAATTATGCGGAACAAGACTGTCTCCCTGTGGTTTTGTCTCTTGAACCTCAATACATGCATGGGTTTTGCGAGAGATACCAAAGTTCGCATAGTGCCGTTTAGCCTGAGTTCACCCAGAGGTACAAGTTACGTACATTTCACAACTCTTATAAACATCTTCGTACAACCGTATTGTTTTGACAGTGATATGAATGGGTTACGTATCAGTGATTTGTCAGCTGTGAGTGAGTTCAGTCACCAAGGGCCACAATGGCTATTTCCAGCTAAGGAGAAGAAAAACTGGCCAAACTACTTCTAGCAACACGCTGGCTATCTATGTGAGTTCAGTCACCAAGGGCCACAATAGCTATCTGATTTCCAGCTAAGGAGAAGAAAAACTGGCCAAACTACTTCTAGCAACACATCAGCTGGCTATCAGTCAATCCCTATTCGGGCTGCGGGCCCGAAGCAGAAATGCTAGTATCGGAAGTGCTCGGGTATAGTCGAGCGCCATCATGCTCCTTATTACAACAGTCATTCCCTGTCCAACTTGTTTGTGTCTACCTGGGAGACAGGGACCATCTCAAGACAACTGAGGTGAGTCCGTGTTCAAACAGGATACCAGCAGCGAATGTGGTAGCCACATCTTTCATTGTTATAAGGCTTCTGGCGCCACGGACTATTCGTCGTCCCATGGCAGCACGCGAAACCCTGACCCGTGAGCATCACGTGGGATTTCGACAAATCAGAGACTACGTTGACTACATCTCTACATTCCGTTAACCGTTGGAGCAGTGTCGTGCGCACTGACGGTCCACATCTCGAAGGGCCTTAACTTTGAGGGGCATTCGGTTCTTTCAACCTCGCATTGCTTATAACCCCGTTCACTCAACAGGGGACGCTCCGGAAGATCGTCAACACAAAGTCTGTCTTGACAGAAGGGTGTGTTATCCAAATGGACAGAGGAGATAATGTTCTCTGGTTATTGTTTTTAACCTTTACTACACTTGTCACAGGGAGTGGTGAAACTTCACATGCAACCATACTGGAAGGAGGGTCATTGTCTATTTCTTTATCCGGAATGCGCGGCAGAAATTACATCAACTGTGAAAGATTTTTGAGGAGAGTCGGTTTTGCTACTGGTTAAACACCCGGCCAGAAGTTGTCACCTTTCAGGCCGCGAGGTTTTCAGAATTCATCGTAGGTTCGGTTGACTTGGGAATCACATAAAAGCGTTCGACTTGGTCAAAACGTTTAGTGCGGCAGGTACTTCACCTCGTTATGCGGAGGTGAAGAGCATAGAAACTGTTTACCCATCTTCATATCATATACGTCACCGCCCCTTAAGTGAAATTTGATTTCATGACCTTTAATATAATCTGTCAGTATCTTTTCATCCGTCCATGGTTGATTGGCTTTCGTTTTCTCCCCAGTATCCTTCTCCTGAGTGGGATACCGTCACTCCAGAGGCGAAAAACCTCATCAACGCCATGCTTACGGTTTGCCCTTCTCGTCGAATCACCGCGGCCGAAGCGCTCAAGCATCCGTGGATTTGTGTACGTCTTCTTGAACAAAATGAGTACTGCATGTTTATCAAACCTTCATGGGTTATTGAGCTTCACACTGCGTGAAAATAATCACTGCAGTTTTTTTTCAGCTGACGTGCATACTAGGTGATGTTTCGGCGTATCGATGATTTGGTCACAACTCAAATAGCAACAGTAGCGTTTAATCATTTTCACTGGACCAATGACTCCAAAACTGGCGATAAGGGTCATAGTTAGTTAGTTAGTTTTGGCGTTTTCGCTGCGTATTCGCTGTGTGTGAGAGAGAGAGAGCATGATAGAGACTCAGGTGAATGTGATAAATAGTAGTGTGAGGTTTATTTTTCTCTCTCCCCCTCTCTCTTTCTCGAAGTTTCAAAGGCACATCAATCCCTGTTTTGGTCAAGTCACTTCTGATAGTAACTGCCTAATAGATTGCCCGCACGTTTCGTCAAATTAGTGCACGTGGTCTTGTTCCGCCAAGATCTCTGAGACCTACGTAAGCGAGCCTACACTGACCACAAGCGATCTATAGTGAATCGGTCTCCTCTCTGAGGAAAGTTCCGTACAGGAATGTGCTCCATGAATCATGCAAATTGTTTTCTTCGGACAGTCTGTCCAGAGATAGACAATCTTTGAATGATGACTCCAGCCGTAACCTAGAGCTTCGAACGCCAATATCGCTCGATGATAACACCGTACATCACTCCGATCACCCGTCAAGCAGTTTTAGACGTCTTCGGCGCCAATTGGACAACAAAGTGTAAATAGTTACACTGAATTCGCATACAAGCTTGGACCCAAACGGATTTCCTGTTCAATTCCAGATAGTATCTGTAAAAGCGGCTCCCTATCTGAGGTTTACAAACCACTTACCATGTAAGGTTTTCGTTGACTTTACCGGTGATTGTTGTAAGGGTATTTGTTTTGTTTCATGCACTTGCCTCCAAGTTTAAGTTAAGCTGGATAGACGTGGTGCCTCTGAAGGGAGTCCCCCGAACAAGATCAGTTTGGCCATATCCTGTGAATGATGCTTGTCCTTTCGGGACCTACTGTATGTGTCATCTCGAATGCTGAACAATGTGACTAATAGTGTATTTAACAACGCAGTACTGTTGACTGAGATGCCTTATTTCGGGGCATTCATGTAACCGACATTGTTGATCAAATCATAGGACTCTTTGTTGGAAAACAATATGCAGGACGTGTAGTGTTCCAGCCTCATACATCGATTTTGTCAAATGATTCACCCGTGCAACAATCCGGCACCAACATCCCCAGCTCCCGTGCCTACGTGTACAGTAACGGTAGATTCTGTCTGAATTTTTTTGTCGAGCAACGTATTCCCACATTCTGAGGCCCTTAGTTTGACAGATATCAGCTGTTTCTAACTAAAGGCGTCATTTTTTCTGAGGATAAAATGTTGTTCACAACCACCTCCGGGCTTACTGATTGTCCATACATATTCACTGCTTTTACTACTCATGGTCCGATAGGTAAGAGCACTCCGTCAGTTGTAAAGTAATCTGAGATCATCAAACAAACTGAAGAAGTACTCCATGGCCATGGGTGGGAAGTGGCGATATGAACACGCTAATTTTACTACTGTCTTAGAGTACACGCCCAATAGGACCAGCTTTAGGTCACCCTCCATTGGTTGTCTCGTATCTGTTCATTTTAGTCTTTGCTAACGTAATACTGTTTCACTTGTCTTAGTTGTATGGCTTTGGCGGTACGGTAGCGAAGCATCACTTCTGAACACGGATATCGTGCTGTCGGTGATCATAGTAGCTTCGACATCACGATCTTGGTTCCAAAACTCCTGCTTTATCTTTCTCACCGTTCTGTGTTTCCAGACTTATCCGTATAGATTGAACTGTTGACTGGTCCAGTACGTGTTAGAATCCCGTTAGCCACCAGAATATGATTTCGAGCCAGCGAGCTCTGCGTAAATCAGGTGAGCCAGTGTGACCTTCAAGTCTCAAGACATCGTATAAACTGGTCGTTAGCACCTAATGATGATTGGTGTCTCTAATTCACCACCGGAATAATTATCACCTTTACGGTGGCTAGCTACCATGCCATCCGAAGGAAACATGTGGGTTGAGATATTATCACATTACCGAAGCCTCGACGGGAATCGGGTTCGAACCACTCAACATTCGGTTTGCGTCTTGACCACCGACCCATCTGGAGCTCTTACTGATTAAATTGCGCCCAGTAAAGTGACCTGTTTTTGGATTGAATGTTTTGGGACAACGTAGCCTTACTTGTAATACCACCTTTTCACTTGTTTACTTCCAGCAACGAGAGCGAGTTGCCTCCATGGTGCACCGACAAGAAACCGTGGAATGCTTGAAGAAATTCAATGCTCGCCGTAAGCTCAAGGTAAGCCTTAAGGATGACCAAATCTTCATTAAAGCACGAGTTCCCCATTTTCTCACATTGTGCTATTTGTCAGTGTCTATGTCACAATCGCGTTCAATCACCGGGTAGTTTTTGGAAATCCGAATTAATTCTTCGTATTGCACACATTTGTGGGATGGAATGTTGGATTCTATTAGGGATCCACCTCATCAATCTATTACTTTCTCGAGACAATGACCAAGAATCCACATCTTCCCTAGATTTCTATTCTATTTGCTCTGCCTATAGCAACGCTTTCCGTGCAAACAATTCACTTGGTGCAAGGAGCGAAGAACTTTGACGTTCTGTTTCTTGATGTTGCTCTGTCTTGCTTGTCCCGCTATTCAACCACGTACGGCAAAACACAACTGAGATGTCATACGGCGGGTCGCTTTGTTCAGGGAGCATTAATTTTAATCACTTTCTGTCTAGACCGTGCTCGCTTGTCTAGTGAAGGCTATTTTTGAAGTCGCATACGCCTCCGTTGCATGTTCCCTACCCACATACTGAATATTTACCTGGGGCCGTACACGTCGTGCTATTTTTAAATAGATGCTCACGTTGTTTTCTCACAGCGTGGGGATACGGGCGAATAATTATCTTCAAGTTAATGGTGAATAGACGAAATTTCCCTTCCTTTCATTAGCTCCACTACTGTCCTCATTCTACCAACGTAGGAATATATATGTATATACGGGCTGACATCCGTTGTCGGGTTCCGCGAACAATACCGATGAAGCTTTTCGCGGGATAGGTAGCGCCACCTTTAATTTGCTCTTATTCGCATGCGTAACCTTCCGAACGTTCTCCTTCCTGTGTAAACTCAAACTCGCAAGTCCGGAGGATGAATTTATGAATACCAAGGCCAATTGATGCCGATGAGCCTGAACTTCCGAACGTTTTCTCATTAACTGCTGGTGGTCAACCCTTGACTTGGCAGAGCAGTATGAAGAAGATCACGAAACGCTTGGGTGCTGTCGGTGCTACTCGCCTTCCAGGATGGGGACCGCGTGATCCTCACTGTGCCTGGTTGGAGACACTACAAGATATGGCTGCCATCCGACGTCAGTGGCGTTCTTGTTGTCAGTATCTATCCAGATTGCCTGAATGAATGTCTGGAGGTGTAGGCACCTCGGAATGATTGTGTTAAGCTAGCACTAAGTCCCTTCCCCATCCACCTCTACTCTTCTCTTTACAATAAGGCTTTCAAATAAATCATGGTTGTACGGCAGCATCGGTGTTGAACACTGATGTCATGCTGTCGATGATGATGTGCTCTGCTTGAGAAGGTGCATGTTCATCTTTATTTGGACTGTTTGACGATCTGTTTCACAATCAGTTCTTCGCATCATTCGTGTGCTGCGTACGTCTAGGATGTCTCGTTAGCGAGCGGCGTGTGATCGAACTGTCTCGGCGGCAGTTTGCTGCGTACCCAAGTAGATGGCGCATCTACACTATGAACAGATTACGGTTGTCAGCGTTGATATTGCGTTTACTGGCTTGAGAGAATGATCTCAGCTGACCCGTGCTTTAAAGTATTCAGATAATGAGCATTTGACTTTTCTCTGACTGAAGAAGAGAGCTAACTTCGGTGTTAAGCTTCTCCGCCTTCCGTTGAACGTATCGTCTGAACGTGCGTGCTATGATGTCACGTAACTTCGACAAGTAATCTCAGGCGCATCAACACTAGGTTTGGATGGATTCCACGGGGTCCTGTTTTGAGCATGTCCCTAATGCGTTCGAACACACTGAATATTTTTCTGTTCGCTTTCCATTTTCCGCACAATATGTCTCAGCTGTGAGCAGTGTCTAGGAACAAATAAACTTTGCCGTTCATTGTTTCGTTGCATAGCACGGTGTACCTCGCAAAGTCTCCGGTGACTCATTCACTCTGTAGCTCCAGGATTTCCTTCTTTGGGGATGCTGTTCTTGTTGACGATGTCAGTGTTCTACTTGTTTGGGCGAAATTTTGTCTTCACAATTCATATTTGGTCGCGCCATTCACCCCTTTCCCCCAGTACACGAGCAGAGGAATGTTAAGAAAAGCTAATGTACCATGAGGGGAGTAGTTATTCTGGATTACCATCCGGTTGGTCAACACCACCAGACACCGTAGTGGAGTGAATGGTTCTACCTCGTCGTTTTATATTTATGTTATAATAATGGATGTGGTAAGTCAAGCTAACGACTTTCAACTACACCTTTGTGAAAAGATCGGTGGATGAGTTTCTATTTGCTGCAACGTATTGTCTCACGTAGTCAAATCTTTTATTCACTTATTCTTCTGCCTGAGAAAAAAATTTTTGCCCTATCGGTGCCTAACTTCCATGCCATCCGAAAGAAGCACGAGGCTGGGATACCTTCAGGTCACTCAAGTCTAGACAGGGGGCGTCGAGACGCAGAGGTCAAGTTCCAACCACGGATCTTCCGGTCAGTGAATTCGCACCCACTAATCCATCTCAGCCCGATTACCTGATGACGTTCCTAGGTTTCAGATACCCAGTTTGTGGGAAGTCATTGAGAGAAAGCATCGTCTGTTTCGCAGCTGTACCCATGTCAGATGGTCGGTCAGCATCCAAGCAAAGTGCTTATGAATTTCTCGTAGTTTGGACACAGAAATTCTTTGTATGAATCACTCTTTCACTCTACCTACTCATTGTGTTATTCAACCCAAGCCAACATACTATGCAGAAACATTCACTTCTGTTATGTCCATTTTTTAGGGCGCCATTCTCACTACTATGCTTGCTACCCGGAACTTCTCTAGTAAGTCATTTAAAAATCATCCATTTTCATGCCTCGCATGGATCTGTTATCGAGTGGATGGTTGTTGTAGATTTTCCCAGTTGCTTTCTGCTTATTCCGATGCGGCCGATTTTTACGCACCTCCACCCATACACGCACACATTTATATTTGTCGATTCAGTGAAAAAGGAGGACACCTGTAAGTTGACTCGCTTCAGTTCACTCTCGTTGACGCTCATCCACTCACCCAGTCGGCCCATTTATGCATGCTAGCCAGCCTGGTTACTCACATTCCCGATACTGCCGGATCGTGTCCCTTATCGATTTCCTCTTCTCTCCCTTGTGATATGTGTACGACAACATGCAGCAACACAGCTTGTGGCGATGGTTGTGGTGATGTTGGTGGTTCATCGACACTTCTCATGGCAGTGTGTTTGGTCAAGCTGCGTGGTTGTTTTCTCGCGCGCTCGGCGTGTGTATATCATTTGCGTTTCTACCTACCTACTTATGGTTACCTGTGCCTGGATTAACCACACATACACATGCCCACTCATTCAGCTTCAGCTTCTCAGCATGTTATCCCCCTCGTTTCTCTTTCAAGTCTGCTTACAGGCCTGTTCGCTCGCTACTGTCTAACTGCGCGTGTTGTCAGTCATTGTATTAGTATTCCGTACTACTGAACATCGATATGGACCTCCGTAATTTTCGCTTCTCCTAAATTGCTTCTGTCGCTGATGAGGTTTCCAGGGTGGTTGCCTCAGGCGAAAGATTCGATATTGATGCCGAATTCACAGTCTTTCGTTTCAAGCATGGTTTTAAGCTGGTTGGGCGACTACCTACCAGCTTCCGTATTCCATTTACTCCATACGCACGGATGGTTGGTTCCATACTAGCAACGTGTTGTGTGACAAAGCCTTCATTATTCTGCCCTCTGGTGTGTCGCAGTGCATCAAGCCAGCAATCCGTGGTTTCCACAGTGAATATTTAGTTGATTAGTCCCAAAAATGTAGTTTGGCGAAAACATGAATTAAACTCTGTTCACAATAGTTCGGTAGGTATTATTGTCATGTTTACTTACTAGTTCATTGTGAAACGCCTAAGATCTGAGTGACTGATAGACAGCTGTCTTGTCAGTTTTGCTAAAATCGTCCTTGCAAAATGCGTTAGCAAGTACCCTAAATGATCAGGACCTCAAGACGCCCAGTTGATCAGAACTACACGACGTGTATGGCAATGACAGTCGCACCAGCTACACAATCGTGAGTTTGGATACATCGCTTTCGGTATGTCGCGAAACTTCACCAATTCGGAGTTCGCTAGACAGAAACGAACTGTTCCACAAGCCACAGTAACTACCCTTGTAGTGAACAAGAAATAAATGAGGCACCGAATTTAGTTTGACAATGTTTTTCAGGCTCAGTTCAGAAAGGAAAACAAACATTAGATACTGGGAAAGGTACGGTCACCAGTTCAGGGAAATGCGGTAGAAACTAGCTCGCGCGACTGATGAAATACATTCGTTTGCCAATGATTATCGAGAGACTCAGCTGAATCTCTCGTCCATAATATTCTCCAACTGGATTCGATAGAGAAAGATTGTCTCATGTTTCGGTAAGCAGGTTTTTCTAGATATCGCAGCATATTTTTTTGACACTGCACACATGAACTCTTCGAAGCCCTCTTTTCACAATGACCGTTTTCCGTCAACCATATGCATATCAAGAAAAATACACTGCAGCACCTCGAATAGCAAACCAGCTGAAATCTGAGACAGCCTTTATGTGTGTTGAAGAATATCATGAACAAGAGATTCAGTTGAGTTTCCCGTTACCCGAAGAGTCGCATACAGTTCTGTGGTCAAACAGAAAACGAAGCTAAATGTTTCACTGGAAGAAGCGGTCTATTTTATCCACGAATACATTGAAACTCATCCCTAACCGCTTATTGAGAGTCCTCTCATCCTTCGCATCAAAATGTAAAAGCTTTATTTTTAAGCCATGAGTGGAAGCGAATCGATGACGTGGCGTTGGACCAATTGTGTCTTATCTGTCGATGAAGACGGAGGCACTTCTTTAATGCTGTTTTTATTTTGATCATGTTCGCGCTTACCGATGGAACTGTTTCGTGTCGTCCTTAGCCCGTCACATCTGAACACGGGCTCATGTACTTGAGGACGATAGTTCCTTTGGCCCTCTATGCATCTTAACGGTTAGACTCTTGGATGGAGAATGCAGCAACTCATCATACACGTGTAGTCTGTCTTAACTTGGACATATCACTCAATCTTTTGACCAATTCTGTGTCTGCTGAGTCCCCTATCTTTGAAGGCCCTTCAAATGTGGACATCGTCCTCCAATAGCGTACCTTGAGCCAGCCGACTGACTGTTTCGTGGGATACTAACATGATAATGGTACTAACTTACTAACGTGATGGTATCTATAACATACCATTCCTAGTTTGGACGCCATTTGTCGTCGGCTTTAGGACTTAGTTTGGACTGCCCAGAAACCCTTAAGTTCGAGTGGTCCTGTTGGTATCTGCCCCACAAGAGGCTGATTGACTGCGCAAAATGGTTGAGTTAGCCGTCACACGCTCACTAGACCAATTAACTGTTATCAAGGTGAATAGTGTGCTATCTGCGTTGTCCTTAGTGCTATTGTGCAGT